TTGATAAATATTTTGATTTATAACTGTGTTCTGTAACTAGTGAAAATCCCACATTAAAATTTCTGCAGTGGGACATCATATTTGAGGGAACCTGAAGCTGTGTCCCCAGGCCATGGACACTCATATTTGGCTGTAGTATAAACTGTCTCTTACTGTTTTTGAAGTGAGAACTGTGTTTTGTGTTGATATCAGGCCTTCTTGCTGTTTTTCTGACCTCTACTCACAACTTAAAAGACATGACTTTTACCCTATCTCTCCTGCTTCTGGTCAAAACAATGGTATCAGAACTCTATTTTTGGCTCTGTAACACAGTCTCACAGCAGATTCCCTGTTCCTCTGGCTCTTATAATATTTGTTTCCCTTATCCCATGATGTTCTGTGAGCCTTAGGTACAGGAGTTGGGTTGTACATATCCATAAGGACTAGGACTTCACAATCAGTTATTCTCCACATTTCGACCAGTTACAGTTTTATGTAATGTTCTCTATTGGCTTCAAAGAAGCTACTTTGATAGCAGGTGAGAGCTATCGGTGAGTGTAAGGATAAATATTCAGAATACAGTTAGGAATTATGCTCGTTTAGTAAATTGGTGGTAGTAGTCTCTCTCTGAAGATCCATGACCTCACTAGCCCCAAGTAGTTGCCAGGGTTTCCAGTACCAGTCACGATTTCCCACTTGTTGAACAGTCCTTAAGTTCACTTAGACAACTGTTGGTTACCTCTAAAATTTGAGTGCCACTATTGCACCCCCTATTTCTAGCTCTGTCCACATATCTGCAAATGTCACAATGCCATTTTTATTTATAGCTGAAATAGCATTCCATCTTGTATATAGACCATTTTTATTATCCATCCATTGGTTTAAGGACATTTGAGTTGTTTTCATTCCCTAGCTATTTTAAGTAGAGTGGCAATGAACGTGGCTAAACAAGGATCTATAGAGTAGGATGTGGAGTCCTTGGGGCATATGCCAAGAAGTGGCCTAACTGGGTCATATGGGAGATTTATTGTTAGCTTTCTGAGATTTCTCCACCCTGATTTCCAGAGTGACTACATCAGTTTGCATTCCCACCAGCAGTGGTTGAGGGTTCCTGTTTCCCTACATCCTCTCCAGCATTTGTTGTAGATGGTTTTGTTGATGTTAATCATACTGACTAGGGTAAGATGAAATCTCAAAGTTGTTTTAATTTCTATTTCCCTAGTTGCTAAGAACAATGAACATGTTAAAGATATTTCTTTGTCATTTTTATTTATTCTTTTGAGAACTCTGTTCAGATCCATAGTCTATTTTTCAATTATTTTTTTTTATTCTCTGTATTTTGTAGGCAGAGTTTTTCTGTGCTGGCAGCTGCTCTTGAATAACCTCTCAGAGTCTTAATATTAATTATAAATGATCGACCAATAGCACAGGCTTGTTACTAACTAACTCTTACATTTTAAATTAACCCATATTTCTTATCTATGCTTTGCCACGTGGCTTAGTACCTTTTTTTCAGTACAGCATGCCCATCTTGCTTCTCTCTGAGTCTGCTGATGACTCCTGACTCTGCCCTTCTTCCTTCCAGCATTCTCAGTTTGGCTCTCCTGCCTAACCTTATCCTGTTTAGCTATTGGCTTTAAATTATTTATTAAACCAATCATAGTGACATATATTGACACAGTGTAAAGAAATATTCCACAATGTTTAAAGTTCTTTGTACATTCTGGATATTAATCCTCTGTCAGCTGTATTGCTGGCAAAGATTCTTGCCCACTCTGTGAGCTTCTTTATTGCTTGCTTGCTTGTTTCCTTAACTGTCCAGAAGCTTTTTAGTTATATGATGTTTCTCTTATCAATCGTTGACCTCAGTTCCTGGGCAAATGAAGTCCTATTCAGAAAGTCCTTTCTTATTACACCTGTGTCATTAAGGTAATGCTATGGTGTTTGCTTGTTTGTGTGTTTTTTCCCCTAGGAGTTTAAGTATTTCAGGTTTCACAGTGAAGTCATTGATCCATTTGGAGTTAGGCTTGTGTGTGGTGATAGATAGGATCTAATTTGATTCTTCTACATGTGGACATCCAGTGTTCCCAGAACCATTTTTGGAAGATGCTATCTTTTTTTCAGTGTATGTTTGTCAAACATCAGGTGGCTGTAGTTATGTGTACACATAAACTATTTTGTTTATTGGTCTGTATGTCTGCTTTTATGCAATAACATTTTTATTACTATGACTGTATAATATAACTTGATATCTGGAATGGTAATCCCTCCAGCATTGCTTCTTGCTCAAGATTGTTTTGAGTAAGTCTTACATTTTCCTTGCATTCTCATTAGCACCTGCTATCATTTGTTTATTGATTTTGGCCATCAGACTGGCGTAACATACAATGTGATTTTGATTTGCATTTCCCTGGTGGTTAAAGATGTCGAACATTTAAGTGTTTCTAAGTCATTTGTGTTTTGTCTCTGAGAAATCTCTGGTTAATTATGTATCTCATTTTTTAATTCAGTTATTTGTTTTCTTAATGTTCAGTTTTTCTTTATATGTTTTAGATACCAACCTATTAGATGAATAATTGGTAAAGATATTTTCTCATTCTGTAGGCTGCTGCATTGTGCAAATGCTGTGCAGAAGTTTTTCAACTTTTTTTTAAAACATTCATTGTTATTCTTAGTACCTGTGGTATTTCTGTTCAGAAAGCCCTTTCCTGTGCCAATGAGTTCAAGACTATTCACCACTTTCTTCTCTTCTATCAGGTTCAGTGTATCTGACCTTATGTTGAGATCTATGATCTATCTGAAGTTGATTTTTGTGTAGGGTGATGAGCATTGGTCTATTTGCATTCTTCTCCATGCAGCCATCCTGTTTGACAAGCACCATTTGTTGAAGATGCTGTCTTTTTTCCACTGTGTACTTCTTTATCAAACCTCAGGTGCCTGTAAGTGTATGAATTCATATCTGGGTCTTCAATTTGATTCCAGTAATCAACATGTCTGTTTTTATGCCAATACCATGCTGTTTTTATTACTATATCTCCATAGTACATTTGAGGTCAGGGATGGCAATACTGAACAGCAGTTCTTTTATTATTCAGGATTGTTTAGCCATCCTCAATTTTGTATTTCCATAGGAAGCTAAAAATTGTTTTTTAAGTTTCTATGAAAAATGATCTTGGGATTTTTATAGAGAGTGCACTGAATTTGTAGATTGCTTTTAGTAGGATGGTCATTTTTACTATATTAATTCTGCCTACCTATGAGCACAGGGGATCTTCCCATCCTCTGGTGTCTTCTTTGCAGCTGTTTTTTGCACTGGGACTTTTACTCAGGAATTTGTTATTTGGTTGTTATTTGTTAGGTCTCATTTCTTCTTTTAGGTGGGTATGTTTGTAATGAAGACTAGTTGAGTTGTCATTTTCCATGTTCAGACCATATTCAAGGTACCATGACGTATCACTAGATCTTCCCCTAGGGTAACTCCAGCAGTAGGACCCCTGATTGCTTGGTTTTACCTAACATTCTGCATATTCTTTTTCTACTTCCTAGAAGTCTTGACTCACTGCTAGGAGTTCCTCTGTGTTGGATGGTCTCGTATATTCTCTATTTCTAAGGACTATTCTGGATGAGTGTCCATGTCGTGTTCCATTTCTGGCCCCTACTCCTGATTTGGTTTGGCTCTGCTCTGTCTTTGGTTCAGACTTTTTCTGGGTGGTGCTTCTATTTGGAACTTACTCTGCATGTGGGTTCCTCTTACCTTTTTGAATGAGTTCCTGGCACTTTTGTGTTCAGTGTGTGTTTGTGCTTTGTGTTCTTTGTGGACTTAGCTTCTTTTGGCTTGGTTAGGTACTATTGAAATTAAGTTGTAGAGAAATTGTTGAGTGTTTACTTTTGGTAAGTAGCTGTAGTTACAACTAAATGATCTTGCTTAGTTAGTTGTAGAATAGTCTCAAACCTCAATGGAATCTTTGTTGATGGGGCACAGACCAGTGTGAGCCAGGGTATAGGTGTCTTTTCATGGGGGTGTTTCAAGGCTCTGTGGATTGGGGAGACTCCAGCTGCAGGTAAGCATTTTTGGCCTCACAGGCTTGGTCTGATGGGATGTGGGGGTGGTGGGTACATTATCTGTTCTCACTGGGATATCCCAAGTGCATGTGTGAGCTGGTGGGCATACAGTCTCTGACCTCACTGGGGTTGTCCAATGGCATATGGGTTGAAAGGACCTTGAGGGTGTGTAGGTGTGCAGTCCCTGACAAATAGGGGATAGTCTGACAGTGGATGGAACAGGAGGAGCCTTTTATTTGTTTGTTGTTTTTACCTTGAGGCAGGGCCTGGTAGAGCCCAGGGTAACCTTGAACTTACTATATAGCTAAAACTGGCACTGAGCTCTTTGTCTTCACCTACCACGTCTGGCTTTGTTTGCTATTTTTCTTTAAGAATCATGGCAAGAACATGTTACTGGGAGAGTGATAGTTTGAGATGGCTTGTCACATTGAGTCCTCGGTCACAGAGGGAGAAGAATGCTGGCGTTCAGCTGACTTTCGCCTTTTCCCTTTCGATCCTAGTTATGGAACCTAGTTCCTGGGTTGGTGCCACCCACACTTAGGGTAGATTTCCTCTCAGTTAAACCTGTTTAGAATTGTCCTCATAGACGCACTCATTGGCATGTCTCCTAAGTGACTCTAAATCAAGTCAAGTTGGTGATCTGAATTACTATCACCCAATTTTTCTTATGTTCCTTTATATGATCAAAAATGTTTGTGTAGTCAGATCTTTTGTTTCTTTTCTTTTCTTCTCTGTCCTTGATTTCTATAAATTATTCTTTATGGTACTATTTATGAATGGTAATCCGTATATGGCATTGTTTCATTAAAACATTAACTCTGAAAAGCCATAATAGACTCTGGCCACCTGAGATGTGCCAAATAAGGCCATTTTCTCTATTGTGTCCATTGTAGCTTTCTACTGCTTCCATGAAGTTCTCTTCTTGTACAATTTAATTAATTTCTTCCTTTAATTTTTAGATTGTTCCTAACTTCACAAAGCGTATCCAGTCCAAAATCAAAGATCTTCTTCAGCAAATGGAAGAAGGACTGAAGACAGCTGATCCTCACGATTGCTCTGCATATACTGGCTGGACAGGTGGAGTACATTATGTTCCATTCCTGAACTAGTGAATATAAGCTGAGACTTTGACATTTTCTCCTACTTTAAAATGGTGACATTTATACCCTTGAATCATTAGACAGTTTTATTATGAGCTGTTTTATAATTTTGTTTCTGAAGAAATACTGTCTGAAGGTTTGATCTTTAATATGTAGTATATTTTTATAACATTATTTAACCTCATACACAGCTATGCAAATGTGTGACAAGAAAAGGTCTACCTTATGATTTATTTTGTTGGGTCTGTTATATTTTTCTTTCTGACAAGTTGTGATGAAATGGTGTATCTGGTGTGCTTCATAAATGATTACCTTGTTGGTTATACTTAATTTGATTCAAATAATTTTAATTAAATTATTTATATACATAAATATTTTATTTTAATGATAGATTTGTTTATTATATCATTTAAACAAAAAGTCATATAATTCAGAACAAAAAAGTGTGATCTCAAAATTAACTTGCCTTAGCTAATTTTATATTTTTGCTGTTGTTCTAACACTGGGATCTTTTCTTCCTGGTTCCCATGATCTATGATGAAGAAACTCAGATGAGATACACAGAGCATAGTTTAGGAAATAGCAAGTATTTATTACAGATTAAAACGGAGCATGTTGTCAAGGGAAAGAAAGTGGATAGAGGCCACAGGGATCACTTTGTAGTATAACCTATTGTTAAAGGATCTGAGTGAACAATGGACAAAGTGGTCAGTGGGCAACCTCTGTTTTAGGCCAAATTTACACTATTTCTAGAACAGATGGCTTTTTCTGAGGGCCTTTTCACCTTCAGGGTATTGTCAGTCTGTTTGGGGAAAGATTAGTGGAGAAAGGGACATGGGGCTATTTTTGTCCTTTACGAGGATGTCCGACAGCTAGTAATCCTACTAGGTTTAGGGCTCCTGGAACAAGTTTTTTTGTTTTGTTTTGTTTTGTTTTGTTTTTTGTTTTTCGAGACAGGGTTTCTCTGCGTAGCTTTGCACCTTTCTTGGAGTTCACTTGGTAGCCCAGGCTGGCCTCGAACTCGCAGAGATCCGCCTGGCTCTGCCTCCCGAGTGCTGGGATTAAAGGCGTGCGCCACCACCGCCCGGCTAGAAGGTTTAGATAATTATCTGTTAATGGTATGACTCAAGTCTCATTCTTTTGACTAATAATTAGTTAGACCTTGATTGTACAAGTTCTAAATTAGGGAATGGGCAGCTCCAAGTGCCCCAGGCCTACAATATCTAATGGGCTACTTCACACTACCAGGTAGTCAGAACATTTTCATAGCTATGTATGAGGTATGTAAAAGAACAGACCTTGTTCTCTGGAATTACAGGAAAGGCTGACAATCATGCTAGTAATTCACATACAAATTTAGAGACTTTCCTTGTTAGCTTTAACATAATATTTTTACTTATTCTTTGAGAATTTTATACATGCATACAACATATTTTGATTATATATACCCCCTACTCCCTCTCTTCAAATCCCCAGGACCCCAAACCTATCTTCCTCCCAACTCCATGAATTCTTTTATATTATTAATAATAATGATAATACCCCCTGAGTCAAATTCATGTTGAGTATCTGTGTATGGGTTCGGGGTCAACCATTAGGGCAAGGACAATCTACCAGCAGCCACCACATCTGCAAAGTGACCCAGGGCAGCCCTTCCCCATCTATCAACCAATCAACCAGCTGGAGTTTAGGCTGGTTTCATCATGTAGAGGTGTTGTACAGGCAACCAAAGCTGCCGTGAGTTGCCGTATGAAACAGCCACATCATCTCCAGAAGACAGCATTTCACAACTCCTCCCCACCCTCTAGCTCTCTAGCTCTTACATTCTTTCAACCTCATCTTCTGTGATGTTTCCTCAGACATGGAAGGGAGGAGTTTGCTATAGATAACCTATCTCAACCTGAATGCTGACAGTTACTTATTCTCGGCACTTTGATCAGTTACGAGTCTCTGCATTATTCACTGCAGAAAAATAAATGAAAAGCTTCTCAATCTAGGTTAACATCAGCACAGATCTGTTTATGCAAACATAAATATTTATGAGGCACTTTGAAAATATGACCATTTAGTGAAACTGAAATAGTAGATTATTCCTAGGGCCTGTAGCCTTCCCGTTCATGGTCTTTTGACTGAGTTTTCAGTGGGGGTATTGCTAGTGTTTTCTTCTAGCAGTTCCAATGTTTCAGGTTTCACATTAAAGTCTTTGGTCCATTTAAAGTTAGAATTTGTTCAAGGTGATAGATACAGGTCTAATGTCATTCTGTTGCCTGTGGATGTCCAGTTTTTCTAGCACCACCTCTCTTCGGCTTATGTTTTTGGCATCTTTGTCAACTATAAATGGCTGAAGTTACATGTACTCATGTTTGGGTCTTCAGTTTTGTTTCATTAGTCTACATGTCTGTTTTTGGACCAGTATCACAATGTTTTGTAATCCCTCCAGAATTATTCTTTTTGTTCAGGATTGTTTTGGCTATCTTTAGTCTTTTGTGGTTCTAGTTGAATTTTAGGATAGATTTTTTTCTGTTTCTGTGTTGACTGAGATAGGGATTATATTGAGTCTGTAAACAGCTTTTTAGAAAAATGGTCAATTTTACAATATTAATTCTATAAATCCATGAACATGCCTCTTTCTTCAGCAGTTCGAAGTTGTTTTCTAACTTTATTTTTATTTACTTTTTGTGTCTTTCACATCATGCATCTCAATCCAATTAATTTCCCTGATCCTTAGTATCCACCATCTTCCCTTGCAACCCTCCCCCACAAATAAAATAAAATTTAAAAGAAAAAATGGAAAAAAGGAAAAATCTCATCATGGCAGCTGTGGTGTAACACAGTCATGCAGTAAACCCTCATGTCCCTATATCTTGCAAGTGTTCAGTGCAAAGAGTCATTGGTCTGCTTTGAGACCTCTAGTTTCTGCTACACTATCGATGCTGGGCCCTCACTGGGACTCCTCTTGCATATCCTGTTGTTGTCCTGTGTCATGGAGATCCTGCAGCTTTGGGACTGCAGAACTGGCCCCTTTGCATGCTCCTGCAGATCATATATGGGGTGGATGTTGAGGTGGGCCAACTCATAATCCTGGTTCTGGGCCTGGGTAGTTGCAGGCTTGGTCAGTCCGCCAGACAGTCACCCTGTCTTCGCCACCAGGGTGAGCTCTCTAGCGTTGCCCTGTCTAGGTCACCCTTGTAGCAGTGAGCAAGGGGCGGGGCCAGTTCTCCTGCTTTCACACCCCCAGGGTCGGTTCTCTTACACCTAGACAGTCAGTGCCAGCTCTACTGTGTTGCCCAGGCAAGGTGCAGGGGCCGCTCTCCCCAGTGCTGCATCTGGTGCAGGGGCAAGGGCAGCTCTCCTGCTCTTGTGACACAGGTGGTGAGGGGACATCGCTGCCCACCCACACCATCGTATGGCAGGTGAGGGGCAGGGTCTCAGGGGTGGCTCACCTGCACCCCTGTCAGCAGGGTCAGCTCTGCTGTGCTGCCCAGGTGAGGAGCAGGGCCCACTCTCCTGAGTGCTGCAGCCGGTGAGGGGGGGGGGGTCACCTGAGTGCTGCAGCCGGTGAGGGGGGGGGGGTCAGCTCCCTTGCCCATCACAGGTGGCAGGGGCAAGGTGGGGAGGTGAGGGGGGGGGGGTCAGCTCCCTTGCCCATCACAGGTGGCAGGGGCAAGGTGGGGAGGGCATCTTTTCCTGGCTCTCTCCACTACATGGCTGATGAGGGGGTGTGACCAGCTCTCCCACTCTCACAACTTCAAGGCCAGCTCACCCCTGCCTCTGCCAACAGGGTCAGCTCTGCTGTGCTGCCCTGGTGAGGAGCGGGGCCTGCTTTCCCGAGTGCTGCCGCTGGTGAGAGGGAGGGTCGGCTCCCTCGTCTGTTGGTTGCAGACAGAGAAGGGAGAGGGGTAAGGGGTGCATCTCTTCCCTGCCTATACTACCACGTAACAGACAAGTAGTGGGGACAGCTCTCCCATGCTCACAGCTTTGGGGCCGGCTCACCCACACCTCCAACAACAAGCGAGGTGCAGGGCCAGCTCTCCCAAGTGCTGCAGCTGGTGAGGGGCAGGACCAGTTCCCCCTAGTATTGCAGCCAGTGAATGATGGGGCCAACTTTGTACAGTTCTATATTGTCAGCCTTTGGTGTTATCAGGAGCCATCAACATCAACAGAAAATGTGGCTGCATCAGGGCCATGAACCCAGACATGGGCCCCTGCAGCAGCCCAGGCCCAGACCTCACTATGGCCCTGGGTAGCAATCAAGCCACCCATGTCAGGCCCCTCCTCACCACTTTCACCTCTTCTCATATGCCTCTGTCCATAGGACAGGAGCCATTTTGTCGCTTTCTCCCATACTACACCATACATTTGCTTACCATAATAGTGCCATTCTGCCTGGCACAGCAAGGCGCGGGGTGGACTCGTGTTTTCTCCTCAGAGCCCATGGCAGACCTCCCCAGGCCTGCGTGTGGGTCTTCTTGTCCCACTCAGTCCGTCATGGCACTGGATAGGACCGTGCTTCCTCCTCACAAAGAGATCATAATAGTGCCCAACTGCCTGGTGCTTCTGGGCTCCTGGTTAGTGGGCAGGTATTGTTGGAATCCTCCCAGAGGCTTAGGATAGAAAGCCTGGGCTACATTTGGTTGAGTTCCACCAGCCCTAGGTGCATGGTGTGGGATGGAGCTGTTGCTGGAGCTCTCTTACCTGAAGTTTTCATTGTAGAGGTTTCACTTCTTTGGTAGGTTCATTCCGAGATATTTTATTTTCTTTGAGGCAATTGTAAATGGTAGTGTGCCCATGATCTCCTTCTTTGTATGTTATTGATGTATAGAAAGGCTACTGATTTGTTCAAATTGCTTCTGTATTCTGCCACATTGCTTAATTTTTTTGTCATTTCTAGAAATTTTCTGGTAGAATTTGTGAAATTTTTAACTTATAGTCCTTATCTTCTGAAAACAGGGATAGTTTGACTTCTTTCTCTATAAT